GTCTAGGGTTCGAGGTCTGCTGGACCTTTGATACGCCACTTCCAACACCAGTGGAAAAACTTCCTCCTGAGCCCTAAGCCCCAAAAGCCTTGAATAATAGCTACACCCACCGAGCCGTGCGAGGGAGAAGGTTCGGGTTTGGGGATTAGGGGGTTGAGGGTTTTGCGTTTAGGGCTGGGGGGGAATACCCTAACCCGGAAAGGAATAGCCTACATCTTAAACCCTAAACCCTAGCCACTAGCTGCGTGGGTTTGTTGAAGTTCAGCTGTTCGCTCACAGGGCTTCTAGGCTCTAGACCCCTAACCCTAAAACACTAGGGTTAGGGTTTAGGGTTTAGGGTTTAGGGTTTAGGGTTTAGGGTTTAGGGTTTAGGGTTTAGGGTTTAGGGTTTAGGGTTTAGGGTTTAGGGTTTAGGGTTTAGGGTTTAGGGTCAATTTAAGGTGTACTTCACAAGGGTTTAACGGCACTCGACCCTGAACTTGAACCAACTCGGAGCTCAAAATTTGTTGTCTTGGCATGGGTCTTCACACGCAGATGGAGAAAGAGCCGTAAACCCTAAACCCTAAACCCTAAACCCTAAACCCTAAACCCTAAACCCTAAACCCTAAACCTTGGGATGTTCCCCCCTTATACTAACAATCCTTCATAGGGATTCTAATCGGGGGTACTACAATCCCCATTGGAACATCCCAACCTAAACCATGAACCCTAAACCCTAAACCCTAAACCCTAAGCCCTAAACCCTAAACCCTGAAACAACCGTCAGGGCTCGTGAGCTCGGCTTTGCTGCGCTGCGTCGAGCGAAGCGTGGCGCAGCGGCTCTGAGCCAGGGAGGGAGGTTCTAGGTTTTAGGGTTTCTAGGGTTTAGGGTTTAGGGTTTAGGGTTTAGGGTTTAGGGCTTAGGGTTTAGGGTTTAGGGTTCAGGGTTTATAGGGTCTAGGTTGGGATGTTCACACTTCTACTCACAGTCTTTTAGAGGGATTCTAGTACCCCCTATTGCTACTATGTGCTGAAGAACCCGCCCAAAAAATACTCTATATTACCTTACAAGAAGATTATCTACATGTATATATATATATATATATATATTTATTATTATTATATATTTTTGTTTTTTTTTTGGGGGGGGGTTCTTAAGCAATTGGTAGATTATAATCCCTCTCAAGAACTGTTAGAAGAAGGAGGAACATCCGAAGCCAGCCCGGAGGCCACCGAAACTACGGTTTGCTTATAAGGTTCAGGGTTTAGGATTTAGGGTTTAGGGTTTCAGGTTGCAAGTGCTATTGGTGGAGTCCCGAAGACCTGCACACCACCTAAACCCTAAACCCTAAACACCCCCTAAGCACCTTAGCCCTAAACCGTAAGCACTAATTGAGCAACTGAACTTAAGGCACCCTGATACGGGATGTTTTGGAGGATACGGATGAGGCATCCAAAAGTGTGTTTTAGGGTTTAGGCTGAGGGTTTATGGTTTCGGGTTTAGGGTTGGGATCAACAAACTTTCCTACTTTGCGGCAAAAAAAGGGTCAAGTACAAGTTGATGCGCATCAAAGAATTTGTTCAACGAAGTATTGGGGATTCACAGGGTATTTGCAGCATGGTTCCTTTTCTACTTGAATGTTTGCTTAAGAACCGCTCGAAAAATATTCATCCTTAGAAGTAGGGCAACATAGGGATCATTATCTTTTGTGTTTTGAGGATTCTTAAGCACATGCTAGCTCACCGGCAATCAAATACATCCTACATATCCACCTCGCAGCTGGCAAGCTGTGAGCGGCACTGGGCCAAATCCCTTTCCTGAGTTTGCGGTTTTGGGTTTAGGGTTTAGGGTTTGGGGTTTATGAAGGTTTAGGCTTTAGGGTTTAGGATTGGTGCTGAGGTTTTCCGGGCACCACTTACTGTGTTGTTGTTTAGGGTTTGGGGTACCCTAAGCTTGCCATCATTCTGTTTTGTGAACCCGCTTGATATTGAGTATCAGGTAAAAGATTCGGAGGGCTTCAGGGATTACTCTAGTCGAGAGCGTGCCGCCAGAGAATGTCGAGGAGGGAACAGATGTGGTGAACGTGTACTTGGCGCCTTCCTTCTGAATGCTCTTCAATCACGAATCGCTTATGAAACCCTGAGCCCTAAACCCTCTGTAAAGTCTAAACCCTGAGCCCTAAAGCTTAACAAAAACCGTGATCCTGGTGGGACTTGACTTTCAAACGGCGGACGAGCTGGAGCTTCAAAAGACGTCCTGGTAGGGTCTAGGATTTAGGGTTGCCCTTGTAAGGTTTGGCTGTTCCTGAGACTGCTACAGCTTAAAGGCCTCAAAGCCCCCAAATACTTCAGACCCTGAACCCTGAACTCTTTGAACCCTATAAACCCTTTAATTAAACCCTTCAAACCTTTGAAAACCCTTCAAACCCTTCAAACCCTTTAAACCCTTTAAACCCAAACCCTAAACGCAACATCAAGCCTAGTCCCCGAACCACCCCCACTCCTAAACCACAAAATGGCGGGCGCGGCAATTCCGGGTTTTGGGTTTTGGGTTGAGGGACTTGAGGGTCTTAAGGCGTCGTGGCCACCCCAAGGGCCCTAAACCCTAAACACAAAACACAAATTCACAAATTCTACAAGGGTTTGGGGTTTGGGGTTTAGGGTTTAGGGTTTAGGGATTAAGGATTAGGGTTTAGGGGTTTAGGGTTTAGGGTTTAGGGCTTCGGAGATCCTTTGAGCAAACATCCCCAAAGAGGAGCCTCTAAACCTCCAACATAAAGGATAACGCATACTAACCGAGCGGCCCCAACCTTCAAACGCCAAACGCCAAAGCCTTTGAGGGTTTTTAGGGACGGTTTGGGGTTTAGGGTTTAGGGTTTAGGGTTTAGGGTTTCGGGTTTAGGGTTTAGGGCTGATCCAGTCGGGAATCCACGACTTGGGACTCGCACTCGGCTTGAAAGATCTCCTCGCGGTTGAGACTCGCGCAAGGTTTGGAAGTTTAGGGTTCAGGTGTCTACCCAGAGGCTCCTATGTAGTACCTTGTTGGGTGAGTATACTAGAATCCCTGTAACTAACCCAAAAAGGAACTACATTGGAGCCTTTGGGTAGGGTTCAGGGACCAGGGGTTTAGGGCTTAAAGGTTCAGGAGTCAGGGAGGTCGGGTTGAAGGCTTTTGGGAAAAAAGGGGGGCTTGCTTGGGCGTTGAGCGGCAAGTAGGCCTTTGACCCCTAAACCCTAAAACCATGCCACCACCAAATTCAGGGACCCTAACCCTAAACCCTAAACCCTAAAACCTAGACCCTAAACCAGAAACGCCAAACCCTAAACTCTCCCGCGCGTGCCCAAGTTTCACTTGCTCCTCCTGAGGCCTAGGAAATACAAGGTTAAACTTTCAAGCCTGGAATCCATCTTATGGAGTCGCCAGGGTGGGTCAAGTGTTTTCTTGGTTGAGGTAGGCAAGCTGGGGGGCCCACGCTGATGGGATCAGAAATAACCCTTAAGCCCTATAAAACCCTATAAACCCCCAAGTCATGTGAAGTAGGGGATATATTGCTTGTACCCCCAAAAGGACACCGGGTACATACACTCACCAACATTAAAAAGGAACCTTATATACACTCACCCATGACAGAAAAAAAACTCAACTTCATGTCCATTCACCTTGAACCCGGCCGGTCTCCTGCTGCAAGGACCGCTGGCGCTGCCAATCCTAAGATATGCTAGGCCCATGGTTTAGGGGAATTCCAGAGTTGAAGGGATTTAAGGACTTAGTTTAGGGTTCTAGGGTTATGCCAGAGTTGAAGGGGTTTAAGGACTTAGTTTAGGGTTCTAGAGTGATTCCAGAGTTGAAGGGATTTAAGGGCTTCGTTTAGGGTTCTGGAGTTTTTCCAGAGTTGAAGGGACGTAAGGGCTTAGCTAAGGTTCTAGAGTTTGCAGCTTTCAAAGTTTAAAGGCTGCAAGCGTGATCACACCCCAAACCCTAATCCTAGACCCTAAACCCCAACTGCCCCCCTGCCCCCCTGCCCCCCTGCCCCCCTGCCCCCCTGCCCCCCTGCCCCCCCTGCCCTGCCCCCCTGCCCCCCTGCCCCCCCTGCCCTGCCCCCCTGCCCCCCTGCCCCCCCTGCCCTGCCCCCCTGCCCCCCTGCCCCCCTGCCCCCCTGCCCCCCTGCCCCCCCCCCCCCCCCCCCCCCCCCCCCCAACAAAAAAAGACGAAAAAAAAAAAAGAACAAAGAGCGCGGCATTAGAGTCCACGTGGCTGACGGTTTCGGAACTGGGGCTTAAGCCTAACCCCTGAACGCTAAACCTCAAACCCTAAACCCTACATCTTAAACCCTACATCCGAAACCCTAAACCCTGAACCCTAAACCCTAAACCCTGAACCCTAAGCCCTAAACCCTGAAACCTGAAAAGCCCTCTATCCGAGGTTGGCCAAGGCACGTCCAGCCGCTTGGTGACTGCGGCAGCTCGCCGATCGAAGTGGCCACGAAACTCCGCAAGCTCCTCTCAAGTCCCCTAGGGTGTAGGGCTTAGAGGGTTTAGGGTTTAGGGTTTATAGGGTTTCTAGGGTTGATAGGGTTTCTAGGGATTCTAGGGTTTATAGGGTCTATAGAGTTTCTAGGGTTTCTAGGGCTTCCAGGGTTTATAGGGTTTATGGAGGTTCTAGAGTTTATAGGGTTTATAGAGTTTACAGGGTTTGTAGGGTTTAGGCGTTCAGGGTTTAGGGTGTAGAGTTTAGGGTTTATGATAGCTTGCTGATAACTTAGAACCCCTGAACCTCTACAAACCTTTACAGTTAAGAGCACGAAGGAAGCTCCAAGTGGAATGGGAGCGCGATTTGAGCATTGCCGTGAAAACCGACGCATCGTTTTCTGTTGACGAAAATTGAAACCACGCTAGCCGTTAGTCACAAAGTGGACAGTTGGGCCAGACTTTTGACAAAGCAGGGTTGTCATGGCCCACCCGAACACTAAACGACCTAAAAATGTTAAACCCTAAGCCGCGCGAAGAGTGGCTCCCAACTTTCAATCCGCCTCCACGGCATCCGCGCGCAGCTTCTGCAAGTCCGAGCGGAGCCTCATTGTGCTTCTCTCGGCCCTAAGCCCCCCCAAACCCCCTAGCCCTCAACAATGAACCCCAAAACCCTAAAATCCTCGGTTCGTTGCTATTGAATTCGTCACTTCGGCTGGCTCACCAGAGCACGACTACATTCTGAAGCCCCGACTCTGGGCCCTAAGCCCTCCACCTTCCTAAGCCTTAAAGCCTAAAACAGTTGCAAGCCCTAACCCTAACAACCCCTAAGCCCTAAGCCCTAAGCCCCAAGCCCCAAGCCCTAAGCCCTAAACCCTAACAAACCCTAAGCCCTAAACCCTAAACCCTAAACCCTAAACCCTAAACCCCAGCAAGCCCTAAACCCTAAAAGGCCCTCAAGGTTGTAGAGTCCCTGAGTCCACTCCCCCTGGACACCCGAGCCTCCTGAACCCCATGCACCCTTCTGAAAATCTGCGAATGTCATCCATGAAGGTCATCCGAAAGTAGGGTCTAGGGTTTAGGGCTTAGGGGTTTAGGGTTTAAGGTATGCTTCAATTGCGACTTATGGTTGAAGGCATGAAGGTTATCCGAAAGTAGGGTCAAGGGTTTAAGGTATGCTGAACTAGACCCGGGAGTAACCCAGGAATAAAAAGGGTGCCTGTTTCGGCTTTAAGGGGATGATGAGGGAACCCCAACCCTTAAAAAAGGAAAATAGGGCCTACTCCCGGTCCTAGAAAACCCCGATTTCCTAAAACCCTCGAAGTCCCCGAGAAATCCAGACCCCTAAACCCTAAACCCTAAACCCTAAACCCTAAACCCTAAACCCTAAACCCTAAACCCTAAACCCTGAACCCTAACCCTTCGGGTTGAAGGCTCCCCTATTCTGGGGTTTAGGGCTGAGAGGGCCGCGGGCTCCTGGAATGCAATCTGCTGGGGGAAGCCCTAAAAACCCTTAAAACATCCTTAAGCCCTAAACCCTACACCCTAAACCCTCAACCCCGAGCCCTAGCCCTAAACCCTAAACCCTAAACCCGAAACCCTAAACCCTAAACCCTGAACCCACTTTCAGCTGCGGAGCTCGACCACGGGACCCCCGAGAATTCCCGCGAGCCGATCCCGGAGGGCGGCCAGGCGGGCGGCCTCGGCGACCTGAGCTGGGGTTTAGGGTTTAGGGTTTGGGGTTTAGGGCTTTGGGCGGATTTTGGGGTTTTAGGGTCCGCCGACCCTGGCGGCGTGTTGGATGGGTTTGAGGAGGTGAAAACCTCCCTCTTTCCCTCCTTACCCCCCAAAACGCGGCGGGGGGGGGGGGGTAGGGGGGGTCGGTGCACAATTTTTTTGTGGAGGACCGCGCCACCCGCACAGCGTAAACAGGCGGTCTCAACTATGCTCCAGCGGGGTCGGCGGCTTGAGCCGGAGGCTCTTAAATTTCAGGGTTTAGGGTTTAGGGCTTCAGGGTTCTGGGGCTTAGGGTTTAACGGTTTTTGGTTTTGGGGTGGGTTTTTGGGTTTTAGGGTTTTCATGTTTAAGTTTTAGGGTTTAGGGCTTAGGGGTCAGGGTTTGAGGTTTCGGGTTTTAGGGTTTTCAGGATTTTCAGGGTTTAGAGTTGAGGGATTAGGGTTTAGGGTTTTCAGGGAAAAAGATTTAGGGTTTTGGGCTTTAGGGTTTAGGGTTTTCAAGGTTTAAGGGTTTTCGGGTTTAGGGCATTGGGGGTTTAGGATTTGAGGGTTTAAGGGTTTAGGGTGGAGGGCTTAGGGTTTAGGGCTTTAGGGTTTGAGGGTTTAGGTTTTCAGGGTTTGCGGTTTTAGGGTGTAGGGTTTAGGGTTTAAGGGTTTAAGGGTTTAAGGGTTTAAGGGTTTAAGGGTTTAAGGGTTTAGGGTTTCGGGTTTTAGGGTTTCAGGGTTTCAGGGTTTTCAGGGTTTTCAGGGTTTACGGTCTTATGGTTTGAGGTTTTTATGGTTTAGGCTTTTCAGGGTTTAGGGTGTTCATGGTTTTTAGGGTTTTAGGGTTTAGGGTTTTAAGGTTTTAGGTTTAGGGTTTTAGGGCTTTACGGTATTCAGGGCTTAGGATTTTAGGGTCTTAGGCTTGAGGGCCTTAGGGCTTTAGGATGTTGAGGGCGTAGGGTTTAGGGCGTTCCGGGCTTTAGGGTCTTAGGGTTCCAACCCTAAGGTTTAGGACTAAAGGTTTGGGGTTCAGGGTTTGGAGTGGCGGTGGCGGGGGCTAGTACGTTTCGAGTCTCTATGGAAGTGTGGCGTTCATGGCCTCGAGTTTCTATTGGGCAGTGAAAGATTGGTTTGGGGGTTTAGGGTGAAGTTTTTGGGTACGGCTTCTAAGCCCTAACCCCTGAAACCTTAAACCCTTTGTTGCTGGAGGTTTTTGGGGCTTCTTACTTGGCCTTTCAGGGACCACATTTCTGGGATGCCGGTCGTCCTCGAATATGTCCACTGGTCACTGGTGCATCCCGGCGAGAGATTCTCTGCCGCGCCATTCTCTTCCGCAGTGTTCGCAGCGTTGTCAACCTCGTCGGGCACCCATGCGATGGATCTTCGCTTGTGGACGCTGCGGGCCGCGGGGGCCAGGAAAGCTTCCATTCCCTCGCGCTGTCCGAAGACCTTGTGCGTCATCAGGTACCTGTGCTCGTCGTTTCCCTGGTGTAGCGCGCCAAGTCCGGTGGTTGCGAGGTCTGGCTCGCTGAGCAAGTAACTGCTCAGCTTCCAGAGCCAGGGTTTAGGGTTTAGGGTTTAGGGTTGAGGGTTGAGGGTTTAGGGTTTAGGGTTTAGGGTTTAGGGTTGAGGGTTGAGGGTTGAGGGTTTAGGGTCCAAGGGTCAGGGAGAGGGATCTGATGAAACAAAAACACAGCGCCGCGCCTAGGGCCCTGGTCGCCGCAGCCCAAACATCCATTCAACCCCCCCTGGTTCTTGGTAGGGAATGAGGGAATGAGGTACCTTACATCCCCCTATATAATTCCCTCCCCATGTAATCCCTTCAAGGGAATATATAGGGGGATATAAGGTGCCTCATTCCCTCATTCCCTACTAAAAGCCAGCCAGTCAAGAGAAGGTTTCGGGGCCCCGGGTGGAGGGTTCTGAGGAAGCTTGGGGCTTAAGGCTTCCCAAACCCTAAACCCTAAACCCTAAACCCTAAACCCTAAACCCTATACCCTATACCCTATAAACCCTAAACCCTACAGCTCGGCCAGGGCTGCCACATTTTGTTGCAGCTCGCGATCCAGCCTGGGAGCTCCCAGGGTTTAGGGTTTAGGGTTTAGGGTTTAGGGTTTAGGGTTTAGGGTTTAGGGTTTAGGGTTTAGGGTTTAGGGTTTAGGGTTTAGGGTCCGGCTCAGCCGCTGAGGAGATTTCAGGGTACGTAGGGTGTGGGAGTTAGGGTTTTACTAAGGTTTAGGATTTAGGGTTTAGGGTTTTGGGTTTAGGCTTTGGAGATTAGGAATTTAGGGTTTAGTCTTAGGAGTTTAGGGTATTCACACATTTTTACAAACGTTTTGAATGTAAAATTGAACCCTAAACCATACTCCCCATACCTTCCGTATACCCTGCACCCTGAACTTTCCCAAGCCTCAAGAGTTCGAGGCTTGAGGTTCCCTACATCTACATGAGGGTCCCTTCTTGGGCTCCTGTTCTCACGCGGAGCCTTATATGTAGGGCACCCAACAGGAGACCATCAGAGAGTACCGGGTGGTTTCGGGCTTTACACCTAAACCCTGAGGCTTTTGTAGGGGTTGTAACCCTGAAGGCTGAGGGTTCTGGCGTCCACCAAAGGCCCCTCCTCTCGACTCTGATAAGGGCGCCCTGAAACCGTACATCTTCACCCCAAACCTCATCACCTTAAAGCCCTATAACCCTAAGCCAAAAAAATCCAAGAATGCTGAACCCTGAAGCTCTACATCTGCAAAAAGGTTGAGGCCAAAGGGGCTCAGCGGCTTCTTTGTCGGCTGACTCCTTCTGCTCAAGCTGCGCCTTTTTTGGAGCTCAAATTTAGGGTTTCGGTTTAGGGTGGAAGGTTTAGGGTGGAAGGTTTAGGGTTCAGGGTTTCAGGTCCGTTTGCTCCCAAGCCCGGCCCAAGCCCTAAGCCCAAAACCTTAACACATAAGCAATTTGCGGGCGCGTAGGTAGCCAGGACGCCAGGACCGCTAAGGTTTGTAGGGTTTTCCGTTTTCGGGTTTTGTGTTTGCTGATTCATCCTGCACCCTTGCCCCCGAATGTCTGAGGCGTGTATTTCTTGGGGAAAAGGGCTTGGGATTTAGGGTTCAGGTTGGGACGTTCCCCCCTTATACTAACAGCTCCTTGATACGGATTGTAACAGGGGGTACGAGTATACATCATAAGGGTGAACGTCCCAAGGTTCAGGGTTTGAGGGAGGCGTATAGCTAGAAATGGCTTAGGGTTTAGGGTTTCGGGTTCACGGTTGGTTCAGGGAACTTGGGCTGGATATTACCGCTGGAAAAACCGCCAAACCCGCAATCTTCACCAGACCTCGGGCGCGTAGATGCCCTCTAAATGCCTATAACCTCCTTAACCTGAACCTCTTTGAGCCCTAGGCCCCAAAAACTCTGAAAACCCTAAACGCCGCACCCGTAAAACCTCTTTGAACCCCAGAGACTTAGAGGGCTTCGGGATTAGGGTTGTACAGGAGGCCTTAATAAATTAGAATAATCTTTTGAGGTATATTATCTTGGTAACACAGTAACCATGTTATAGTAAGGGTATCCTTGTCTTGGTTGGTTCCTAGTACTTTAAACTTTGAAAGGGAGCCTTGACCCAAAAGAAAGGGCAAAAGGGGTATCACTGGGCCCCCACGTTTTCGTATAATTCTGTAGGGACCATAAGGGACTATCATGTAACTTAGTCCCCCGACCCCTGTAGTACACGACACCCGTGACCCGTATAAACCCCATGAGCCCCATAAGCATAAACACCAGAAACCCCACAAACCCAATAAACCCTTCCAGCCCTTTCAACGCCACCAAGGCCTCTAAACACCCTAAACCTCGAAATTCCCCAAAAAGCCTAAAACCCTGCGCCTCTAAACGCCCAAAAAAACCCCAAACCCTGAACCTCCAATCCCTTCCGACCCCTAGAGTAGGTTTGTCCGCAAACCCCAAACTCCAAACCCTAAACCACCCGAAACCCTAAACCCTAAACCCTAACCCCCCCCCCCCTCCCGCCTGGTGCGCAGACTGCCTGGGATCTGGGACAGAAAAACCGGGCTTCACAGGGTGTGCAGGTTTGGGGTTTAGGCATCTAGCGTTTAGGCTTTAGATCCTGACTTAGGTTATACGTCCCTAACTATAGTGAGTATAGTAAGGGGGCCCTACTTGTAGAAGGGGGAAACATTACAGCAACAAGCCCCTCAACCGGATAACAAGCCCCCAAAACTCAAGGCCCTGAACCCCACGGAGCCTTGAGTCGGTGCGGTCTAGACCCAAACCCCCTAAACCCTATGCTAGATATTTGGTTTCGGGTTCAGGGGCTTAGGGTGCCAACTTCCGTAACCCTAAACCCTAAACCCTAAAACCCTAAAACTCTAAACCCTAAACCCTAAACCCTAAACCCTAAACCCTAAACCTAAACCCTAAACCCTAAACCCTAAACCCTTACTTCTGTGGCCAGGGGGCAAGGATGCTGCCCGGTCGGCGAGCGCGTCGACCGCTGTGCGCTGCGCCTGGGTCTACGCACTTCTCTAGCATGCTTAGCATGCTAGGGTTTAGGTTTAGGGTTTAGGGTTTAGGGTTTAGGGGTTAGGGTTTGGGGTTTGGGGTTCGGGGTTTGGGTTTAGGGTTTAGGGTTTAGGGTCTAGTGTGTAGGGTTTAGGGTGCAGGGTTTAAGAGGGTTTAGGGTTGAGGGTTGAGGGTTTAAGCGACAGCAGCTCTGAGTACCCATGAAATACCCCCCCAAGTCGGACCCACCAAGTCCGTGGGATCTTTCAGGATCTGGACCTCCGGACCAGTGGACCTTATTACGAAAGTAGGGCTTAGGGTTTAGGGTTTAGGGATTAGGTGTTGAGGCTTTAGCGTGTGGTTTCCCCTGCACCTTACAAGCCTTATCTGTAAACCGTATAAACCCCATGAACCTCAGAAGCCTCATAAACCTCAATGAACCTCATAAACCTTATAAACCTCATGCATCTTACACACCTTGAAGACCTTAGGAACCTCATTATCAGTTTTAGAGACCTTATAGGTTCTAGATATTGCAAACCATATAAGTTTCACAACCTTATAAGTAACAACTAATTGACTACCAAAGTAGCCTAGGGTTACTCACCTAGGGTTACTCTGGGTCCTAGCCCTAAACACTAAACCCTAAGCCCAAGCTTCTGTCTGCAACAAGTGAGACCGCGAAGGCCATGTAACCCTCAACAGGGAGTTCTGTAGCACCAGCACGGTCTTTGATCCCAATTTTTGGGGCTCATTGGGTCCCCAAGGTCTACAAGCCCTAAACCCTAGACCCTAAACCCTAAACCCGAAACCCGAAACCCCAAACCCTACCCCCCCCCCCCCCCCCCCCCAGCCCCCAATCGCCAAAAGCTCGGCCTGGCCTGGCGCTCCGTCCTGCGGCGCTCGAGCGACGCCTCACCTAGGCTCAGGGTTTGCGAACTGTTTCTTTACTACGACCCCGCCCCCCCCCACCCCCCCTAAAACGAAAAAGACAGAAAACAAAAGCTACTATTTGCTTACGACCCCCCCCCCCCCAAAAAAAAAAAAGAGTGTGTATATGCATGTGTATATATGTTCTTCTTTATAAAGGATACTATAGGGATAAGTATGTTTCATTTCTAGGGGGGGTTCTTAAGCAAACGGTAGTTTAGGGCTTAGGGGTCAAGCTCTAGCGTTTAGGGCTTCGGGGTTCAGGGTTTGAAGGTTTGGTGCTTAGGGCTTTGGGGGTTCATCTTAAAGGTTGGAGGGTTTAGGGTTCAGGGCCCAGGGTTTAGGGTTTTGGGGTTTAGGGCTTTCAGGGTTTCAGGGTTTGGGGTTAGGGGTCTCTCGGGTCTAGGCTCACAAGGAAGGGAAAAATAGAGCACACATCCCACTCTTAAGGCGGCATGTTTGGGTCTTAGAAATTTGTAGGTTTCTTGTTGTTGAGTTCATAAGCCCCCCAACAAGTGTAGGGGGTGATAGTATCCCAAAAAGTGTAAAGTGTACTCATGCGGCTACTAAGGTTTAGGGTGTAGGGTTGTATGGCTTAGAATTAAGAGTTTAGGGGCCTAACGCTACCATGCTTTTGGATTTTGGATGGCGTACAACGTTGGTTTAGGTGTCCAGGTGAAACTGTCCCTGAAACCCAAAGCCCTAACTTAGACCCTGAACTTTCCCTAGACCCTAAACCCCAAACCCTAAACCCTCATCCCTAGTCCCACCCCGCTTCAGCCCCCCGGAACCATCCTGCGATGCAAAGGGGCGCTCCGCTGCCGCGGCCCTCAGTCGCTCCCTTTCGCTTGGGGCCGGCGGTGCCTGGCGGTTCGGGTTCTTGGGGTTTAGGGTTTAGGGTTTAGGGCTTAGGGTTTAGGGACTCCTGGGGCTTAGGGTGTAGGGCTCAGGGATTTCTAGGGCTGAGGGCGTAGGGCTTAGGGTCTAGAGCTTAGGGATTTACGGAGTTCGGGGAGTGGG